TGGTGGCCTTTCGCACGCAGAAGGTCGAAGAGCTGTGGGGTAATGTTGATTTCCTCACATAGCCCTCTGCAAAGCAATGGACAAAGAACTTGTCGATCGCTAGTACTTGATTGAGAGGTAGTGGCTACTGCTTCATGACACCGACACAGTACTTCGAGACCGGTTTGAGCTCGGTTTCATTCGAGTGCCTTTGTCCTATGCAGCTCGCGTGGCACGGTTTCAGAAAGCACGTCATTGAATTCGAACAAATCCTTGTATAAATGATATGCCTGAAGCGACTCCTAGATTGAGACGCGCATCTCCTAATCCGAGTCTTCTAATTGAGAGTACTTTCGTCCATCGATGAGCTACTGAGAACTCATTCGTTCTTGGCAAGTAAAACTTCCGACCAAATGTCGGTTACAAAATCGTCCTCTGTGACGAGTACGCAGATCTGCTTGACTTTGCCACTACGCAGATCTCGCAAGACTGGTTTTGGTTCTAGCGGTGGCAATTATGTGATCTCCGAAGTCGACTCTGGAGGCGCGATGAGATCAAGTGTGTAAGCACCGACACTTAAACTGTCATTTTGCAATACATACAATTTCTCGGTTTCTTCCTGATAGTCCTCTTCCACAGGCTGTTGGGAACTTACTTTCTCAGGTTGATGAGGCCTTTTTACCTCATCAATAACTGCTCAAGAAGTTTTTTATATAAGCAGGTGGGAACTTATTCCCTCGACGACTTCTAGCTGTAGTTGCGATACCACAGTAAGGTCCTCTACGATCGATTATCCAGCCGATTCAGGGTAATCGCGTTGCTTAGTGTAGGCAGCCAATTTATTCTTCCTGGGAAATCGCCCGCTAGGCGTACAGTCATGTCCGGATTCGCTTAATTTTTTCGAGTGGTGGACCTTCGGCGCTGTCCGGCATACGCACATCTACCGGCAGCTCCCTTTACAGTGTAATTAATTGTCACACTGTGATTTTGTGCAGTCGTACTAACGAACGTACCGCAAGTGAGGCCATCGCACTCACTCGCAGTACATCCGCACGCTTGTAGACGCTCCAGGAAGTTCATCAGATGGTCACCTCGTGAACAAGTGGCAGGCACTTTCACGGTTCGATGCTGCCAGCTGATCCTTAATTCGTACTTTTTGAACCAAGGCATATCTAGGATGAAATTAAACTTGTCAAGTACGATGAACTCATTATCGTAATGCAAATTATCTAGAGTGTAGTAAAGTCCCACTACACGTTTCATCAAATGTATCGATGCGCCTGTTGCTATGATCACCGTCATTCTCGTTGGAGGGAAATTGCGCTTAACAAGGTTGAGCCTACGATCCTCTAGTGACTGGAGACGAACATAGTTGTTTAACGCCCCACATTTAGCTAGGGCATGTATTGACATATACTCTATCACTTCTAACTTTAAGTTGATGAGAAGCACCTTATCACCAAGTGCAGACAAACAGTAATTGTGAATCTGAAAGCAACTATTATCAATAGCTTTTCAGATTCTCTTGAGGTTGCTGGATCACCAGGGCGCTCCGCCTCTACTTATCCTGACCGTTTTTACTGTCCACTACGCTGTTGCAATTTTGCATCAACGTCTAACCCGCGTCCCTTGCCCTATTTGGAAAATGGTCAAATTCGCTCAGTGTTTTGAGACACTGGGCGTAGGGCGCTACATTCGCTAGCGTAGTGTCCCAGCTTCTGACAGCGATTGCACCTCTGCAATCGTTTGTTGGCTGAAGGACCAGGTCTCTAGCTTTTAACATAACAAAGGTCCATAGGTTCTGGACCTCCGACTTCTTGTTAACTTGGGGGATGATATGAACCCGAACTAGAATGATCCTGTCTCGATTTAAAGTCTTCCCGTTCCGCAACTAATATCGCTTCCTATGGATATCCAGCTTCAAGATCAGCAGGTGAGTCTTGACGTGACCATTCGCAAGACCCTGCATGATCGCAGTAATTAATGTGTGTTCATTAACCGGGTTGGCCGTGATACTACTCGCAAAGAGTCGTATGTGTTGGGCGCAAGTATGCACATCACGCTTACCCTGCTTGAGTTCCAGGAGCTCTGATCGAGCCCTGAACTCAGCCTTTGGCGGTATAAACATTTGTCTGAGCCAAGGCTTTAAGACATTTAACGATCCAGACACGTATGGGTCATACAACCTAAGTCCTGATGTCCCGGTTTTGGCACGTCCATCCAGATTCGACTGATCAAATGCGACTTGCATTTGCTCATCGACGATGTGACGAGCCTTTATGGCGTCGTCCAACTCGATGAGCCATCCCGGCAGGAAGTCTTCCTCGACTCCTCGGTAATTTGAGATGTCTATCTGCAAGTTTCGGGTCGATGCGCGTGCGCCGACCCGGGAATAGCAGCATGTGCCTACTGTTTTCTCAACAGTTCAAACTGTTGAGCACCCTATTCTCTTAACAGCTTTGCCTGCTATTAACCTTGCTGTAAAGGAAGTTTCATTTCTTCCGAGACTTGTCATGTTCATGTTGTATGAACTTGGCGATAGCGGCATGCTGCCCCTCTCTGTCCAGTGCGGAAAGCATGTTCGCCCACGGTCGGACCTATTCGCTCGACCGTACTCTATTCGATGTCGCTTAAATAGGAGTAGCTTCTACGAGTGGATAAACTCTGTTACTATGATCATCCAACATGTTCATGTTGGATGTAGGAATTGCGGTCCTTGGACGGACTACAAAGTGCTACCAGGTGAAACGGGGCACTGGTCACTAGTACTGCTTCAGTAATAGTGCACTTACACTGAAAACAGTGTACGTAGTGCCGCGTGTCACTTATGTACACCGTACGTGCAGAGGAAGTCTAGCTAGTGAAAGACGCGTTCAATGGGATTAGAGAGTAAAACTGTATTAAATACAACTAAGTCCTCATTGTAACGGGATGAATCGTTCTATAACAATTTATAAGAAACTGTTGAATAGAATATAACTATAACAGTTGTATTCTCAGAATTTTTGTCATAAGGACAAATATCTGTAGCACTTACGAGTAGTTCCTAATTGGTTGATATAGGCCATTATATCAACCAACGAAGACGCGCCACGACAGACGCACGCAATGAGTGGTGAGCAGATAGTTGATATGCACATTTGTATTCAGACATAGTTAGATGAGGATAAACAGTGGTTTATTGACAGACATTAACTATGATAAATACAGTTCTACTTTTTACTTTAACCAAGTACTCGCTTCTCCTTACCGTCTTCCTCTGCACGTACGAGTGTATGTGAATTTACGAGGCACCGCCTTATTCTATCATCAGAATAAGTAGCTTGTACTGTCACCAGTACAAGCGTCAGGGTGCCCCTTTACACCTGGTAGCACTTCGTAGTCCGTCCAAGGACCACATTCACATCTAACATGAATTTGTTGAATGATGAAGATGACCAAAGCTTTCACGCTACGCGTGACGGCTACTCCCATTTGAGCGATGTCGAATGGGATGCTGTTGAACGGATGGGTTCAACCATGGGCATCCATGCTGTTAGCGTCATGCTAGAGGCTCTCAATAGAGGTGCCCAACATGCTACTATCGCCAAGTTCATTCAAAATGAACTTGACGCTGAACGCGAGAAAGTAGCCTTGCTTCACCAACAAGGTTCTCAACAAGCAGAGTTGTTGAGAGAACAGGGTGCTCAACAGTTTGAACTGTTGAGACAGCAGCAGACCGCTGCTGGTGGGTCGATGCACTCGCGTCAACCCGAAACCTTGAAGATTGACATCTCCAAGTATAGGGGAGTCGAAGAGGACTCCCTCTTGAGATGGTTCGTCGAATTAGACGACGCCATAATGGCGCGTAGCATCGACGACGGGAATATGCAAGTTGCATTTGACCAATCAAATCTGACAGGACGTGCCAAGACTTGGGCTTTGGGACTAAAGTCGCACAACCCATATGCGTTTGGGTCGTTAGAAGTCTTCAAGTCGCGGCTCAGACAAACGTTTGAACCGCCTAGAGCTGAGTTCAGAGCTCGAACTGAACTCTTGAAGCTCAAGCAAGGTAAGCGTGATTTGCACGCTTACGCGCAACATATACGACATCTCACAAGTTGTATAAGTTCCAATCCGGTTGATGAACACACGTTGGTTTCGGTGTCCATGCAGGGTCTTGCGGATGGTCCCGTCAAGACTCACCTGTTCCGACTTGAACTAGATTTACTAGAACAAGCCATTTCCATTGCGGAACAGGAAGACTTCAGTCTGAGACAGGCTCGCGCCAGCTCGACATCATATCGTCAATCGAGACGATATGACAGCGGAGGCCCAGAGCCGATGAAACTCTGTTATGTAGAGAGCGAGAAGGCTCGCTCTACAGACTACAAGAAGTTGCAGAAATGCAACAGATGTCAAAAGACATGACACTACGCTTACGAGTGTAGTGCCCCTCGTCCAATGTCTCGCAACACTGGGCGTAGTGACCGTCCACCCATGAGAAAGGGGTAGGGACGCGGGTCCGCTGTTGGTGCAAAGACGCAACAACGGGATGGACCGTCAAAAAACGGACAGGATCAGTAGGTGCGGAGCACCCTACTGGTCCAGCAACGTCAAGAGAATTCGCAGGCCTCTTGATGAAGGTTGCTCCCAACACACAAACGTTGTGCGTTGCTGCTCTAGGTGATGAGATCTCACTTATTACCTTGAAAATCGAAGTGACGAATAAGTTGTCCCTTCGAGCTCTAGTCGATTGTGGGGCGTCCAACAATTTTGTGCGACGCCAATCGCTAGAAGATGGTCATTTTAAGTTCAGTGAATGTGACACACCTTCTACGAGGATGACGGTACGTCTTGCGACAAGCGCATCCGTTACCGTCATGAAGCGTATAGTGAAGATCCACTATACGCTAGAAGATACCCAATATGACGATGACTTTATCGTATTGGATTTGGATGACAAATTTGATATCATCCTTGGAATACCGTGGCTCAGAAGGTACGAACCACGAGTAAACTGGCAACATCGGACAGTAACGATGCATGCTGCTTGTTCATTAGATGGCCATCTGATGAACGTTTTGGAGCGTCCACAAGCGTGTGGATGTACTACGAGTGAGTGCGATGGCCTCACTTGTGGTACGGTCGTTACTACGACTGCAAAAAACCTTAGTGTACCAAACGGTTACACTTCGGAGCAAAGTTCCGGCGGCTGTGAGGAAACACAGGCTGCGCCGAAGGTCCACCACTCGAATAAGTCGAGTGGACCGGGACAAAGATGTATCCCTAGCGCGGAACATCTAGAAAAGAAACAATCGATCGCTCAGGTTAAGCGGAACGATAAGTCTAGATCGACTGGAGAGTCTTTCGTAGAGGATCTCGCTGTGGTTGCGCAACCCCAGCTAGAGGAAGTTAAGGGAATAAGTCCCGATATTACAAATACGGCGGAAATAAGTTCCCCGAAACCCGAGGGAGTAAGTCCCCGGGAAGCCGAAGGAATAAGTCCAGTGAAGCCTGAGGGAATAAGTCCCCAGGAAATGACAGAGACATTGAATGTCCTAGTCAATAACGGATCAAGCGTAGGCGCTTATACACTTGATCTGATTGCGCCTCCGAAGTTGACTTCGGAGATCACTCAGTTGCCAGGCTCGAACATAAAAGGCTCTTGTGTAATCTGCGTAGTGGCAAAGTCAAGCAAATCTGCGTACTCGTCGCTGACGACGAGTTTGTAGCCGACATAAGGTCAGCGACAGTGTTTACTGAGAACGAGAGAGTTCTCAGTAGTTCATCGATGGACGAGAGCGTCCTCGATGAAAAGACACGAGCTGAGCGATATGAATCTCAACCGTGGGAATCGCTCAAGACAAATCCTCTCTACGAAGATTTGGTTGAATTCAAGGATGTATTCCCTGAAACTGTTCCGTGCGAGTTACCGAAGGATAAAGGTATCCGACACGAGGTCGAGCTTAAACCAGGCTCGAAGTACTGTGTCATGAAGCAGTGGCCACTGCCTCGTGAACAAATACTTGCGATCGACAAGCTCTTTGCCGATCGTTTAGCTGCGGGCCATGTGAGGGAATCGACTTCCCCACAGAGCTCTCCGACCTTCTGTGTGCGAAAAGCAACAGGAGGGTGCGGATTGTGCATGCATTTAACAAGTTGAATGCTGCAACGGTACCGGCTCAGACGCCGATACCGAGGAAGGACGCAATCATTAATGGTATGTCAAAGAGTACTATCTTTTCGTCCATGGATTTGATGGATGGCTTCTATCAAATCCTTATGCGAGAACGGGATATACCCTTTACCGCAGTTAGCACGCCTAGCGGCATGCTCTGGGAATGGCTAGTAATGCCACAAGGGCTTAGTAATGCCCCTGCCACGTTCAACAGATGTGTATCACATCTGTTGAGACCAGTACGAGAATTCGCGCGAGTTATTTCGATGACGTATTCATCCATAGTCGGACTATGAATGGAAAGTCGGACGTTGAGGTTCACATGTACCACATCCGACAGGTTCTTACAATCAAGCGAAAGCATCAATTGTATGCAAACCTCAAGAAGTATATATTTGCAGCGAGCGAAATACCACTTCTTGGGTGCATCGTTGGTAAGAACGGTGTACGTCCTGATCCCGAAAAGATTAAGGCGATCACCGACTGGCCTGTGCCGGTTGATGTCAAAGGTCTTCGAAAATTCCTTGGGCTAGCGGCGTATTTGTATAAGTATTCACGCAATTACGCCGAGATGACTGTGCATCTCTCTCGTTTGTTGAAAAAGAACGAGAGGTGGTTATGGAACGCTGAATGTCAGCGCTCCAGTGATGGTATCAAGCAGAGCTTGATACAATCCCCGGTAATAGCAATAGCCGATCAGGATAGACCATTTCATGTGGTCTGTGATGCCAGCGATTTCGCATCGGCTGTGCATTAATGCAGTACGATCTTGAAGGCGTTGAACGCGTCTTCTGCTATCAGTCGCGTCAGCTGCAACCAGCTGAGCGGAACTATTACTTGCATGACAAGGAACTCCTTGCCATGAAGTATGCACTCGCGAAGTTCAGAGTCTATCTATTAGGAGATAGACCCTTCATTGTTTACACTGACCATGCGTCGTTACGCACGGCAGTAAACAGCCCGCACCTTTCACAACGAATGGCGCGGTGGTTGTCATTCTTTGCAGAATACAACTTTAAGGTCGAGTACAAACCAGGACGACTTAATGTCGTCGCTGATGCACTCTCACGTCGTCCCGACTTTGAACCAGTCGTGAAACCCAACAGTGAGACAGCCACTGTTGCGGTTATGACGGACGTCCTCAGTACCATATTCAACGTTGCATGATGATGTGAGGCGGGCGTATGCCCAAGATGGTGAGATTGTGAAGCTGTTGACACATTTCTCACAGCCGTCTCGAGAATCGTTGAAACGATTGTCGTCTGCGTATCGATCTGCATCAGATCGATACACTACTCGCGACGGTTTACTGTGTTATACAGCCGTTTCAGGTGACAAACCGCGTGTTGTCATTCCAGATGATACTGATCTGCGTTTGCGGATCATGTTCGAGTATCACGATGCTCCTATAGGAGGGCATCGTGTCCGGGAGAAATGTATCTCACGGTGAGTCGAGACTTTTACTGGCCCCGCCAGTATCAGTTTGTGCGAAAGTATGTTCGCGCATGCGAAGTCTGTCAACGAGTGAAGTCAAGTCCTTCACTGCGTGCACCTTTGCAGCCTTTACCGGTTCCGGCTAAGTGCTGGGAATCCATCTCAATGGATTTTGTCTTCGGTTTACCCAAAGACGCACGCGGGAATACTGGTATTCTCGTATTTGTTGACAGATTCAGCACAATGGTACACCTTGTGGCTGTACCAGAGTCAATCACGGCAAGTGGCTGTGCTTGTGTCTTTATTGACACCATTTTCCGACTTCATGGGTTGCCCCGTGAACTCGTATCAGACAGAGATCCACGATTCACTGCTGATTTCTGTCGTTTCGTGTTCAAATCACTCGGAACGCGCTTGAAGATGTCGACATCTGATCATCCAGAGTCAGATGGTCAGACGGAACGTGCCAATTGTGTCCTCGAAGAGATGCTTCGCGGATACGTACACTCCTTTAAGTGTTGGAGTGAGTTCTTGCCAATGGTAGAGTTTGCCATTAACAACTCGGTGCATGCGTCCACGACACATATACCGTTTTACGTGAATGGCTTACGCCATCCGCGTGTACCCACCTTACTAGAGTGTAACCCTGGTTTAAGGGGGGGGGAGGGACTCGCGCGAGCAAAAACCGATTTGGTTCACGCTCATCACGCTCTTACGAAGAGGTCATTGCGTTGATGCCGATATCGATAACATCGATATCGAAGAAGATGATGCCAGTGAGAGTGCGGAATCCCTCACTGCAGAAAAGATTGATGTTGCTGCAGTGCACTCACAGCGCACTGAAGCTAACGAGTCAGCAGATGAGTTCGTACTGGCTCGTGAAGCGGTAGTCCGTTTTGTGCAAGACTCCATCGCTAAAGCGGTGGATAAGCAAAAGCAAAACGCTGACAAGAATGGAAGGGCAAACACTCTTTTATTTAATCAAGGTGACTTGGTCCTACTGTCTACGGTTAATCTACCAAATCATGTAGTGACTAACTTGGGTAGTATTAAACTACTACCCAAGTACATCGGCTCATTTTGTGTATTGCATCGCCTAGGCAATGCATACACGATCGAACTGCCACGTAAGATGCGAACGCATCCCACGTTTTACGTTGGTCGGCTTAAGCCGTACCATCAGTACGCTGCTTCTTCCGATCAAGAACGCCCTTGCGCTCAAGCATCTTGCAGAGAGCCTTGTGCTCCCGATGGTGGGCATCGACAAGGGTCTGAAGAGCAGTTATCTCAGCCCGAGACCGATCAACATTCCCACGAGCTACCCTTAGCTCGTCACGAAGAGACGTCAAAGCTCTCTCGTTCTCAAGCTGAGCAAAGGCAAACTCAGCTCGATGCTTCAAGACAGTGTTCGCCAGTTGGAGACGCATGTCCCGCTCATGTTCGAGATCGTTGCGTAACCCTTGCGTTACGCGATAAAAGAAGCTCTCGGGAACACACGCTTCCCCACGATTGTGTGGAGAGCGTCTTCCCTCCTCCTCCACCTCCATTAGAGGACTCTCGCGGTGGCCAGCGCTATCTGGTTTAGCAGCTGTTGAACCACCGCGACGTGAACGGACGTCGGACGAGTTATCTCGTCCGGTGGAGCGGCTATCCCCCGTCCTGGGATACTTGGGAGCCCCGCTCCCAACTGATGGCTGACGTACTGGGTCTGGTTGAGCAGTACGACGCGGCACATCCTGTGCCGCAGAAGGACCGCTGGAGAAAGTCTTCCCGGCACGGTCGTAAAGGGATTTCAGGTTGTCAATCCCTTCGTTCATATCAGTAGAGATACGTACGCGCCACCACGGGCTAGTAAGGAGGTAAGCCTCCTTAGGTGCTCGTGCAGAGTTGTTCACACAACATGGGCACGAGTCTCCCCAGGAGAGACAGGGTAACCCACTCTCCCTAGACAGACGATGCAGCTTATAGCGTGCACCTGTGGGGGTTCGCTTTTCAAACTTATCACGAGCTTTGATAAGTTTGTCGTTCCAAACGTCACGACCTACATCCTCAACGCTATGAATGTAAGCGTTCCACGCTTGAAGCAGTGAGGGACCATCACGTTTGTGATTCCCACTGTACCATCGATGTTAAAGAAAGCATCGATGAAGAAATCGTTCTCAGCGCGATAGTTTTTCGCACTGGGGTCAAGGTGATGGATCCTTGACGAATCGAACAACCGTGTTCAATAACGATCACTCGTCGTCGCCGACAAGTGACCCATGACGGATTTAGGAGGCATCCATGCCTTCTTCTCGAGAGCGAGACGCAACACACTGCGGTCCCGCTCTTCTTGCGAGGTGCCGACAGAAGTACTGGCACCTCGTTGCGAAGTGGTGGCAATAGGAGAACCGACACCACTGTTAGCGCCCGAGTCTCGCGACCTCGAGCGCCTTCGCTTCGGTGATGGTTCATCTGATTCGTCAGATGAACCAAAGATGCTACGACGCATAGCATCATCCATGCCACGCTTGGCAGGCGGCTTGGATTCAATCGCCGTCGATACGGATCCGTCTTCCGTATCAGGAGAGTATGAGACACCGAGCTCATACTCTGTGAAGACATGAGTGTCTTCATGACCAGCGCCTGCATCACCAAGTGACACAGGCTGAGTCGCTTCAGCAACCGATGAGACATCAGTTGCTGCGGTTTCTGCTTCGGCGTCCGCACAGAGACGTGCGGACGCGCTCTCGGCGGCCTTGCTCGCGCAATGCATGGGCTTGTTAGCCATGCGATGAACTGTTGGAAAGTGAACTCGGACCAACAAGTGTAAACCCTGTCCCAAATGATTTGGGACGAGTATCCATTTAGTCAATCAGTCACTGAAGTGACCGATGGTAAGGGGGGGTGATGCAACGGGGTGAATCGTTACATAACAATTTATAAGAAACTGTTAATAGAATATAACTATAACAGTTGTATTTCAGAATATTGTCATAAGGACAAATATTCTGTAGCTCTTACGAGTAGTTCCTAATTGGTTGATATAGGCCATTATATCAACCAACGAAGACGCGCCACGACAGACGCACGCAATGGGTGGTGAGCAGATAGTTGATATGCACATTTGTATTCAGACATAGTTAGATGAGGATAAACAGTGGTTTATTGACAGACATTAACTATGATAAATACAGTTCTACTTTTTACTTTAACCAAGTACTCGCTTCTCCTTACCATCTTCCTCTGCACGTACGAGTGTACGTGAAGTTACGAGGCACCGCCTTATTCTGTCATCAGAATAAGTAGCTTGTACTGGTGACAGTACAAGCTTCAGGGTGCCCCGTTACACTCATTACATGTGCCTATGTTTGGTCCTAACTTCATCATATTAATCTACAAAAGTGTATGCTAGAGTCTTGCTCACCACTCAATGCGCGTGTCCATCGTTGATTGGACCGCTAGAGCTGGCTGATGTGATAGCCCATATCAACCAATCAGTGAGTGCTTCAGGATATTACCACTTATGGCAATATTCACGAACATTATCAATCTATGTGATAATAATCTAATTAACGAGTATCAGGGTTTATTACATGTAACAGACTCACCACTAACAGCTTATATAAAAAACTTGGGAGATCGTGTCCAATGCTGCAGACGATTTGTGTCGAGAAACGCCATCAGCTCAAATAGTTGGAGTATCAGCCGACCTGGACGACGACATTGCCGTGCCTTTACGGCAAGCTTTTCCACCCCTTGTCAATCTTGTGCGTATTGTATCAGCAAACAATAGACTTTGCAAAGAATCATTCGATAGAAATTTTCGTCATGGCTGCACACCGTGAGCGATGACTTTTTGTCGCTTGCTGAAGTCTCAACAACTGATTTTGTACGCATCGACACGCCTGCAAAAGTTTTCTTGGCGCCTACATTCACGATGCAAGAGTCGGGGCTTTATACGTACGATTGCAGTGATGGCAAAATAAACGTCTCAACGCACCTACAAGTGAAAGCTCGATGCGACGGTAACTCGAGATCGAGCAAGTTTTTGAGAGCTGTAGGCACTTCATCCGGTATCACTCGTGTTGTGGTGAAATTCAACGTAAGGTCCACCTCAGAAATAGGTGCAGTTCAGGAGACCGTGCACTTACTTTACAGTACAAGCTGCACCGCTGCAAGAGTACAGGTAAGAAAACATCAAGGGGTTTTGGGCACGGCTGCATGTCCAACATCTGTTGAAATGGCATCGCTGGGTTGCCACAGACTCCGTTGCCTTCTTCTGGTCACTGTGTCAATGAGATGATCGTTCTTCTGTCGAAATCTAGATGCGATGTGGAACGATATAACGACGGGTTCTGATGCTGGTTTAGATGACTGTTACTGCTGCCACTTCAGTCTGCTTGCTATGCAAATTGGCTCGTACTGAACAAACAAAACCCCTCGCGGCCAGTAGAAGTACTGAAATGAAGCGATTGGAACGCGCGACATCGGTTGGAAATCGGTTGTTCGGAATGGTTGGTCGGCACGTTTTTACAGTGAAGGCCCCTTCGAAGGTGTGTCTTCGCTCGGGAGTTCGCAATTTTGGTAAGACCTCGATTTGATTGTGGTTATCTGGTCTGGCTCAAGCGCTCACTTGCGCACAAAGGCTCATTCGTTCTTCCACATCATGCTGTTAAGAGCACCATGTACAATGGTACGTTCTGTAATGGACTTGGCTTATCAACGTAATTTGTTGCGGATACGAGCTGTTATCGCACCTGTTCCATTCGAGCACATCAGACTTCACATCGGTGCCGATCACTTCATTTGGCGTAAGCGAGATCTACAGCCATCCGGGTTACCCAGCCACGACGAGCATCCTTTGTTTAACCTATGCAAAAGTCATCGTACAGGCGTATGCACATCAAACAGGTTACGCTGATCTTTTACAACTCTGTAGCACCACGCTGTACTACGCACGACTCGGGGTACAGGTCCGACTAGCAATCTAGGTTGTGTGTGCTGAGTAAGAAGCTAATGATTGCCACGAGTTGCACAATTTGGAGCTCCTCATTGAATAACCCACCGAAATTGAGTCAAAGTGAAAGACCAGACAGATCCAATTGAAACACAACCGCGCCTGGTCGCCTCTCCCGTCAAAATCTAGATACAAAGTGCACGAAAGAGAAGAGGGGCAGATTAAAGCACAGGTCGTAGCGTAGCCAAAAAGGTTTAAAGATAGTGTTGATCGATGAAATATACCGTCAATGTTGACCTGATACCTGACTAGCAAAAACTATGAACAATTGAGTCGATCCGGAGCACCGGCAGCAGCTACGATCGACGTATCGCATCATACCCCTCGATCTGCAAGCTAGCTGCTTCAACTAGTCCACTACAAAAGAGCTTCGGGCTTTATCACCAGACACGTCAGTGTTGCCAATTGCGATACACCGCTGAACGGGAGAGAAAGCTGACGACAACGATGACGAAACACCACTTTCAGACGGCTTTACAGTTCTTAGTCAGTTGCTTGGATACTTGCTTGGCATCCTCACGTCACTACTTACTCAGTAGACCTTCGTGACTTCCGAAGGTGCCTCCTTGTCGCACTTGTCGCCGTCCTTTTGGTTGTATTCGTTGGCCACCATATCGTGCAATTTCCTGGTTTCTTCTTCTGACATCTGCGTTCATCGACATTACGACATAAGTTGCTCAGTCTTCTAATGACGCAGAGACGTGGCAGCCAATTGATTACCTTGTACGGGGAGTACGCCTCACTTGAAAAACGACCGCTCTCCACATCGTCACGATACTTCTCAAGACCGATGCGAATTTGTTCACCGACGTCAGCGTAGCGCTTGCAAAACTTGGGAACAAATTGTGCGTGGTGTGGGTGCTGGAGCATGCCCAGCAGGTCATGGAAGACTAGCACCTGGCCGTCCGTTTCCGGGCCAGCGCCAATGCCAATCGTTGGGATTCTGAGCAGCTTCGTCACTGCCTTGGCTACGACCGATGGAATGCATTCCAGCACTACCGCAAATGCACCTGCCTTTTGCACGGCCAAAGCGTCCTCGATAATCGTTCGTGCTTGCGAAGCTGTATGGTGAAACATACAGAGCGTAAGCACTACTTCAAAGAGCATTACTGCGCGCGCAGTGTTGCGCAACATCACCCGTGCGGCCTTGAGCGCGAAACCCTCCCAGAACACTTATGTGCTGTGGACGAAGTCCGATGTGGCCCATCACAGCAATGCCTCCACCGACGATGGTCTTAACTACATGACAGAGAAGTGGCTGAGTACGCGCTGCAACGTTGTTGCTCCATCTACAGCATCATCATCCGTACTCGTCTCCGCGCGCTCCTTGCCTCCTTCAATTTTCACACAGTCCGCACCCCCTTCCTGTTATATAAACGATACATACGTTCACATACGCAACCAACCACCCGGCACGACATGTCCGTGACTTTTCACGAGAGAGACTTAACTACCAACGTCACTTTCAGTACCTTCATGAGACGCTGCGCGTTCTTCAGCGCTTCAAACGGTGCTCCTTCACACGTGCCAAAAGGCATGTCTGTGACCACCAGCGGACGAGAGGCTCCACTGTCCTTGCATCCAGCATACAAACCAAACCGCAGAGTTAAGACACCCTCTTTCCACACCGCGGTTACTATACGCCCAAAACAATCAAAATCTCTCTCCTTTCCTACTTCGCTACAGCTACTACCACTGCACTGCACTAAACGAAGCGGGACGGGATCAACGCACCGTTTCACTGCTCGGGTATGATGAATCATATCTCCCAGAGTCACTGGAATCGTCGTGTCCATCCCCTGCCGCAGCAACAAATACAACCACACAACAACAACAACAACAACAATAGAGAGACAGACAGAAAAACGTCAGTACATCCAGCCACCGCCAGACAGTCTTCTCTTCTTCTCACCCACTCTCTCTCTCTTATGACCACGCTATGACCAAAAAAAGTATCTTTCTCACCAACTCGACCATCCCCACCGAGTCGCCCACCAGCAGCACGTCAAAACCTGCTAAATCCACGTGCACTGCCGATGGAAAGTCATACGCTGTGACCATTGTAATGCGCTTCTTTGTCCGCTTGTAAATGCCCAGGTCAAGCGTCGAGACCTTGCGACGTTGGAGCAACTTAAGAGTGCGGGCGACGGATTCGCCATTGTACGAAGAGGAGGAAGACGAGGCCGAGCGAGTCAATACGCTGGAGGAAGAGAGCGCACAGGGTATGCGACGTGTGATGACGACGGGAGTACGAAGACGGAAGCATCTCATAAGGTGCGCGATGTGAGGAAGGCCCAGGAGGTGGCGAGATATGAGGCATTTATCGCTTCTTTTTTTTGACGTTTTGCTGTCTTTGTTCTGATAATCAATTTGCGGTAGTCATGTGTCACTGCTTCCCATTTGTGGACATAACAGCAGCTGGTACGTTATGACCTACAACATCTTGCCCTATGATCGATCTACAGTGTATGTCGCTGCGACGGCCACTATTGCTGGCCTTCGTGTCCGTGCGAAAAAATAGGCTGTGCTGCGGAGACCATTCACTAGAGTCTAGGCTGCGTATCACTGGAAGGCATTTTGTAATGCACAAAGGTCAAGCAACATTGAAGATATCGTCGTAAGACAGTATGAAGAGCACACTGGGTAGATGTGAGCGTACCACAAGAGAATTGACAACGGCTAGTTGTAGTAATCGCGTACGTATACACAGCAGCGTAAGCCCAAACGACATTTTTTGAGCCCACATTCATGTGAAGTTAACATTAAAGGATGCTTGGGTCATTGGTTGTGCTATATACGATCGAGGAGCAAGCTCTTGAGCTTGCCCTACGATAAACGTATTCTTGTCCAGAGATTGAAACAGGATCGGGTATGTACATACTCACTTTGACGGTGGCATGGAGAATGGTTCGAGTTGTAAGGTGGAGAACCACCGTATTGCCGTAATCGGTTTGTGATGAAGTAACTTGAGGTTGTTGATATGTTGGAGAGGCAAGTGTGAGAAAAGAGAGACGACCAGCGATCTCTGCAACATCGACACTGATGTAATGCTACTGACGATATGATATTGAAACTGCATGATAAGGAAGATAAAGTTCGGAATTCCACCCATCCGTTAAGCGAGGAGGCGACCGTCCACTTCTCATTTTTTTCGTTAAACGTGTCAATGTTGCCTTCTAAGTGGCACTCTGTTGTTTACATTGTGAAGGTATATCTCCTCGTGATTTGTAGGCACTCGCCCCTACATGCACTTAATATGTACACACAAAGAGTAGCTACCGATAAGACGGTGCGTATCATCCGTCGTTGGATTCCTTTGCGACATTGCTCGTGATTTTAGCAGCATCATAACCTGGAATCATCCGTATGGCAACAGTTGACTGCTACTGATTGTTGCATCTTCGTGCTCTGCGAGGAGAGTCGCAGGTACTCTTTGATTCCCAGATCGCCCACATAGTTTCAAAATGGTGTTTGTTTGAGCTGTGGCAACGGTAGCTACATTTCGCTGCAGAATTAGTCTGCACTGGCGCTTCTGCACATTGTCTTATCTGCATCTGCTGATGCTGATCTCGTCCATCTCGTCACATAAGTTTTCAAGCACGAGCACTCGTTGCATCAAAATTAGCTTGTCAGGTACGACAATACCATGTGTATTGTTTTGTGTTTTTAGCACCGTGATTGTGTGACATGTTATCAACACACACTCGAATCGAGTCCTTTGAATACGTATTCCATTGGTTAGCCCAGCTTTGTCCACCCGTTTCACCGATTTACATCACTATTCTATGTGCCTACATCATCTCTATTCGGATGTCTAAACTCTACACAATCGGTGATGCTATGCAAATCAATGGATTCGTCAACGATACAACCAATGGCCAGATATTTTAGCTACTGTTTCGCTCTTTGTAACTTCAGTGCATTGTGAAAAATTCAGTATTGCTGCTGCGCTACCACCTTGTTACTACCAAGGAAGCTTGTCGCATTGTCCTGGCACGCTCCTGAGTTGGATCTCAAACATCAAAACACTAATTTGATATGCGTATCGTAACACTGTGGCGTTGAGAACGAACGCAGCAGATCTTTCAATTTATACAGCACATGCTGCTGACTAGATCTAATCTATGCTCCCGTGTTTACTGAAAAAAGCACTTGATCGGCAAAAGGGTGCCTGGCAAAGCAAGAAAATAGCACAGTAAGAGAAAGCTATTTCTATGCATAATATAAGTTCTGACAAGACCAAGACATTACCTCATCATAATATCGAATGATTCGCAATTATATGGTATTGATGGATACTTCTTTGATTGAAAGTTGTATCCTGCTCCGGTACAGTCGTCCAGACGGAGCTGTTTATGCATAGGAAATGATGTTCATCGCACTGTACCCTGTTGTAATGTAGGACAAGTAAAGTTCGGTTTTGCGGCGACCGGTAAGGCGCTACTGTATCGGCGCGTTAAAGAAGTTATCGAGGAAGTTGTGTAACACAAGAAGGGATAGTTGCGAGCCGAAATAAAAACGAAGCTTTCGTGGCACGCATAAGGTGACAGACGAGGTTTTGAGCATTTTGTCGTCGATGCCACTATCGACGACAAAATGCTCATCGGTGGATCGAGGATCCATACTATTATTTTGGGATCAAGAGGTAGTCAGTCGCCTTGGATTATCTTACGCTTGTGAAATAGATCAGACCCCTACTGAACCTTTCAGCTCCTTGAGTGTTCAGAAGGCTGAGCTACTGGCTGGTGCTAAAAATGCGCTTGACGCTCACCTTACAAATTGGTGTAGCATCTAACCGCGCTGGACGAATAATCACAACAATCCTACCAGGGTCCTACATGATAAATTATAGGCACCAGGTATATGTGGCATACCGACACACACGTGTACTGGCACATTCGCCTTTACAACCAATATGAAAGGCTCGCGACTCGGTAGAAGCCCTGCTTGTACGTTCATTATCAGGCCCTTTCACTTACATGAACGGCGTTCATTTTTAACACAGGTATTCATAATCGACAAACGCGAGTCGTATGTATTTTTTTCTCCCTGAAATTTGCTCGTGATCCGAGACTCGATCAAGAGAGAGACCAAAACCGGATTGTTGACCTTCATGTCATAACAAAGGCAACATCCAATCGATCGAAAACGACTTTTACCGTACTTCTTGCCTCTGCTAAAGTGGACGACTTCGATCCTTTTCATGTAACATTCAAAGCTTTGATTGACGATCAAACTTGAACAGCTAAAACATCTAGGTAAGTTATCGATCCTTCTGTACCACGTAGCAAATTAAAACCAAGTAGAACGAAGTCCAACTCGCATCCAATTGGGTCGTGCTATCACCTGAAGTCTGACTTTCACTTACCAAGTGAAATTATGTTTTGCTGGCCGCAATCTTGATAGACCGACGCCTCGTAGCCGCGTACAACAATGGCACACATGGCTACGTCGAATCCAGGATCGATCAAATCCTGTCTGACCTGCCATCCCGGTCTTGCCAAACTGACGCACGGCCCGGTATCCGATCACTGACGACGGTGAAGCCGTGCGTCACAAAACCATCGAAAGCGCTTACAAAGTACAAGCAGGTGGACGATAATGCAGACCAGAAGTTGCAACTTGAACAACCTCAAGCATCAATTTCCAGAGGGAATTCAACAGCACACAAAGCACATTCCGCACAACCATGTGCTACCGCAGATCCAGCTGGATTCACCGCTTTTCATCCAATCGCGCCACGTGTGATGTCCCGTCTCCGCAAGTCCCTCCCCCCCCGCTCGACTCAGAACTGCCCTCGCCCTTCGCCCCTCTGAGTCGTCATCTGAGCCTTTCTGAGTCGACCCAGCGGTAAGTCAAGTCGTCGTCGTCGTTCACTTTGCTCCCGTCTCGTCAGTTATGGCACTCGCTCGGGCCGTCCAGCGCGCTAACGTCTCCCCCTCTCTCTCTCTCTCTCTATTGCAGATCCAGCTCCTCATCATCGCCGCTTCCACCGCCATGTCCAAGGTCAGGCCTGCTGCGCTCGCGTCCTCTCCCCCGTCCGTAGCTGCTGCTGCTGCTGCCCCAGCAGCTCCACTCCCTGGCTCGGAGCGGCTGGACTATCGAGGCAAGTGCCGGTACAAGACTGGCAAGTGCATGCAAGAGCGGGCGCTCAAGACGTCGGGCGTGGCCCACAACCTCTGCGACGAGCACCGCAACCGGCAGAACCAGCACCAGCGCAAACTCGACGCCAAGAACCGACAGCACAAGCGCGAGCACCGCGTGGGAGCCAATGAAGCGCTCATCGCACGGTTTGCGCCGTACCCCACTGCAGCCAAAACAGCAAAGCGCGAGTCGCTCACGCCGTCAATTGACACGTCGGACGATGGAGAAGCAGGTGACAAGGCAGCAGTAGCAGCTGCTGTACCTGCTTCAGGGAGTGGACCCAGCGCGACGTCGTTGACGTCCACGACGTCGTCCTCAGCGGTCTTGGCAGCTGCTGCTACTGGCGTCATGCTCTTGCCAAGTGGACCACAGCCACCACAGGTGGCGTGTCCGTTGATCATGCAGAACTTTGACGGGATTGTTGTGCCGCTGCCGTCGTACCTTGAAGGTGAAGAGCGCATTGAGTTTCGCTCGCGGATCTACCAGAAGGTGCTGGATTTCATCTCGGAAGAATGCGTCTCACGCTTTGGCGCCAAAGTTGAGTCCACGGCAGTGCACGGAGACGACGCTCAACGTCAAGCAAAGTGCGCGGAATACGCGTCTGCGGTGAGCAACAGAGTTGATGTCACTGAGACGGTAGACGTCCAGCAGAGCTTGTCGTCTGGAACGGAGGAGGCTGAGACGAGTAGTACTGCGAAGAGGAAGCATTGAGCGTGTATGTGGAGCGTCGGACGGGGCAGCAGAACGTAGAGCTCGGTCACTTGCAGTCTTCGCAAGCTGCAGTGTGAGCTACTACCAGTCTAAGCTACGGTGTGTAGTACAGTGGCAAGCAGCGCTTGTCACGCTTTGCAGATCTCTAAGCGGGAGAGTGCTCGCTACCCATGCAGTGCAATTAACGTCATTCTTGTCACCAGTTGCTTCATCATCCACTCTCTTCGGCACTGCTCACCTGAGGCGCCATCCAGTATTGGCCGAAGAGCTCAAGATAATGGCACGGTCTCATCAACACGTTCGCTGATAAAATAACGGGAGTACATTCGACAAATATCACGCATCTAGGAACGACTGGAAGACAGGAAGCGAGCGAGCGAGCTTAAATCTCAACTTCACGTTTGCCCACTCGGACCTGACTGTCATCGAGGCCATCGAGACTACTGAACGAGTACTTTTCGTCATTGTAGGACATCTCGCTGTCACACTCACTGCCACCACGTGCACGTATTTGCTCTGCATACTCCGAGTCCGTGACCGAGTCCGCGATGGAATCGGCAATGGAGTCGGATACCGAAGAACGACCGTCGACGTCTGTCCGCCGCTTCGGGGGTCGACTAACGTCATGGGACGATGCGAACGAGTACTTGCCGCTGTCCAGGTCACTGATAGTATCGCTAAAGCTGACTGCACTCAATCCATCCACCACACTGCTAACGCATTCATCATCGTACTGCATCTCTTCCTTCATTCGCAAATACTCAGCAAAGACGTTCGGAGTGGACGTACATCGAGACGAAACGTCTTGCTGTACATAGTCGCTCACATTCGAGAAGCCGCTCATGCCAGCCGCAACAGCAGGCGGAAGATTGCTACGTCCACTGCCCTTGTAGGAACTGGATTTCCCACCTAGGACTGGAGGAGAATGGGGCGAGTCCGTCAGCATGCCATCCATGCTGCGCGGAGATTCGTTCAGAGGCAAGCGCGGCAATAAGCCGTTTACACGTCCGAGAGGCGAATTCTTCCGTACATCATCGTTGCTCCCACTAGAGCTCACGTCTGGACGCGTATAGCTGACCTTGTTCGTGTCCAGAACGTTGTTGTACGAGCTAGTGTATCCATCATCCCGTAACTTGGACAACCCACGCGGACGCTTGTCGGTTACGACGCTGATGCCGTGGCTAAAGTTGCCACCAGCTCCTGTGATTGTAACGTTTTCCTCCCGATGACGACGCATCTTGCGTCTCCGAGCGCAGAGGACGAGGAGTAATAAGAAGACGAGCAAAGCAGCGAGCCCAATAGCTCCATATGTGACGACATCGAAGCTGAGACCGCCAATGCTGGTGGCGTTCACGCTTTCAGCCTTCGTATCGGGTGACACCAAAGACGACGACGGCGTGGGATAGTCCAGCAGCTCCCCTGGCGGCGACGCACGGCTACTACTACTGCTGGTACTTGTACTAGGAATGATCGTCATCGAGCTCCATGAATCGGCTGCAAATCAAAGAGACAAGGGTCAGCGAAAGCTCGTTGATAGCACATGGAGGAGAGGGATGACACGCCACGTACAGCAATCGTAGCGCACGCCTGTGAACGGGCACGTGTTGGTCGCATTGTCCTTCTCCCAGCACGTGAACGTATTGTCCAGCACGTAGATACACGGCGGGCAGTCGCCGCCACGAGTGGTCGTGTCGCACGTGGAGCTGCCGTCCTTCAGACAGGACGTGACGGAGCTGCAGAAGTCGTTCGTGTCGGAAGTCAGAGCGAGTGTCGAGAGCTTCAGCGCTCGTCGAGGGGCGGTCATATCCACGAGCGCTCCTCTTTTCTTCTGCCACTAGGCGAGAGAGAGAGAGAGAGGGAGGGCATAGTCGTTTTAATGCCCTCTCTCTCCAGACGGCATAGACCTCGCTCGGGCCAGACGCGTCGCTTGTCCCGATTGCAACGCTCGAGGTGGCTGCTGACCAGCCTGCCGTTGCAGATGGTTTTGCTCCAGCGGGTAGAGGCGGGCCGGGGCTACCTCCTAAAAGGAGGTTACGCGTAATTCGTCGTGTCGGGGCCCCTATTTCCATGCGGTTTCGACTGGAGAGGCGTTAATTACTGCCTACAAAAAGCCGGCCGCGAGCAAGAGACGAGCCGGGAATCTGATCGCCGTCGGCCTGAACGCTTTACAAAGAGAGAGAGAGAGAGAGAGACGGGTGGGAGCCTGTCGGAGCTCGCTGTCATATCGCACTATTGACGACGTTCGGCGGACGGACATTTCGATCAGATACTGACTACTACGGACTAACGCACTTTCTGACTGATAATGGCGTTCGATCTTGTCATGTCGTCGGCCCAGTGGGCAATGATGGACAAAAGACGCACCCAGCAGGCGACTTTGCAGATTACTCACTCGACCACTGGAGCCTCATGGTCCACCACCACCGTCTATTGGTTTCGTACAAGTGCTTTGCACGATTGGAGGTTACTTAACGCTCAAGTGAGCCCAGCAGAGAACGGGCTCCATTCCGGGAAGGCCTGAGATAGCGGGACGGCGGTCGTTCACTTGTGCGCTGAACTTTGTCTCTTGCCATACTACGCAAAATGCAGCGCCGGTTGACACTGGTCAGCTCCGAGATGTTGCGCATTATCGACGTGTATCTTTCACTTGCAACCGTAGTGACTAACAACGTCTAGTTCAGCCATTAGTTAGGCTGCCCGATTTTTCTCTGCGGAGTGCACATGAGCAAGTAGCTCTATGTTGTGAAGCAGAGTCTTTCATTGCCGGAGAAGAAAAGTTTATGTGCAAGCTGGTGGCTCACTACAGAAGATGCAACGTCACATGTCCATGTTGTGTCGGACTCGCTCGGGTGGGCGAGAGAGTACCAATGGTGCACTGAACTCCGTTTCTCACGTACTCGAGTACGCGCTTTGTAGTAAACACAGAGCTCGATCTCCTCATCGTCGTCAGCATCGTTTCGCTGCTACGAAACGGCTGCGTGTGTCGTCCGTCGTACTGTCTCCGCGTGCTTGCAAGGTGTCAGGCCAACAATCGACGGTGACAAGCGGTTAATCCCGTTTCCAAGCGCTGGTCTACCCGCTTGCAATTGTAGTTCGATCGTCTGAGCGAGCCACAGCTACGGTGACGGCATCCTGAGCGCCTTCTGGCATCCACATCGTCTTGATCCCTTCTTCAGTTCCCCTTCGTCGCGGCTGTTGCCAAAGCCCATTCCACTGCGAGCCCGTTGACCCTTTTCTATGCATTTGCACCCATCGATTTGGCCAGCTGACAGATACACTCGGCGACTTGTAGTCTCGGTATGGACACGTTGAACATCTCCAGCTGACAGACTACCTGTGTCCAACTCTATCCCCACTACACGAATACGTTTAGTCAGTTATTTTTGAGTCGTTAGTTGCAGTCGATTTGACAGATGGCAGATGAAAGCGGTGCATCATCACACCGCATCATGCGCCAAGTGAAGCTCCAAGTACGCAATCAATATTCGACGGCAACCACGATCATGTTTGCGTCTTCACCCATTTCTATCGTAACAGAACTTGACGAGCCTGATATCGGACGTGTCACCGCCGCCAGTGCTACATTACTATGAGTGGATGTGGGGTGGTGTAATTTCCGATAAAGAATGAACGTCGCTAGTCTGCACGTAGGGACACTAGATGAAAGTACCTCTATAATAGCGGGACGGTCACATATGCCAAGGTCATGAAAATGCTCGAGTGATTGCGGATAGCATATGGTTGCGCCATTCAAATCAAATGTGACAGCCCGTTGTCACGAGATGACTGAGGAGCTGAACGACGGTATTGCATTCGCTGCTATTAACGATATGGCAAAAGTGCCTTTTGTTCATGAGCGTGCTGTCCTTTTGGCTCTGCTAGAAGGTTCCGCACTGTGGGTGTTTTTGTTACCTTGGACCCAATTGTGGCAAAGCTTTCGCACTGTGGGTGGTCCTGTTACTCCTAGACGCAAGTAGAGCTCCGCCATCTTGAGTGCGTTGCGGCACAACCGCAACTGCGTTCGACTGTAAGTCGGAAGTTGCCCGAAAATGATGGCGCCATGTCATCAAGCGCGACGTCAGCCTTGACTTTTCTTAGTGCTCCACTCGGCTGTTCCCAATGTTGCGTGGCAAAAATCATCTACGAAAATAGCTATGCTGCCACGAGTTCAAACTGTATAAGGTTTACAACCACAACTGTCGGTAGTGACTACCAAGTCTCCGCCCTCTGTTGCTACTGTTTTTCGGCTCTTCAGTGTCGTTCAGCCTAGTGGCGTCTGTTAAAAGATGTGGGACGCCTTCGATTTGATGTCCCAACTATTCTCGATCGACTGCGTGTCGAAGCCACGCAGCCACGCCTGGAGGCCTGGGCGGAATAGCCTTTATGAGCCTGGGATCTCTCGCTGCATGAGCGTCGTCAATACGTCTTCATTGGCCGCCGTCTCCAAAACTTACCATAGAAATCCTTGGATCATCGGATGAACGAGAAACACTGAAGTGCAATGAACCGTGCGCTACCTGTAACGGAGTAGCCTGTTACAAGATTTTGACACCAAACGGTGTCAATAGGGAGGTTGTCTAACATGACAATCTTCTACCAATATTATCTGAGATAGGTAACATTGAAGGAATATTATCCCCTCTTACGATAATATTCATGCGCTGCTCAAAGATTGGTTGATAAAAGACACATCAACCATAAATTACCACCAATCGCTGCTAGACGCGCGTAATGAGTGGTGAGCAGGTTGTCGTCATACGACGGCATAGTTTAATATAGTTCGATAAAGATTAAAGTTATATTGATAGCTTAACTATTAAATATAGTTCTCTTTTTACCCTTTACTCAGCTTAGTTGTTGAGTAGATTAGCTTCCTCTGCACGTACTAGTGTACGCGAAGTTTCGTGGCACCCAAACAAAGGGTGCCCCGTTACATATTAATCCAGTATGATGCGATGAAAGATGGGACATTTTCAAGTGAAATACACAAGACGTCACTTATTTACAGGTCTCGCCTAAAGCTAGTTTCTGCCCATTTTCGACCTCGGTAGCTGTCATGGTCATCAATTCTGTCCGAATAAAGGAAGCTGCTAAGCCACTCGGCCTGACAGGAAGCATTGCCATCTCTTTAGGCACCCACGAGCGGGAGCGCAAATCATCGCGCGTTCCACAGACGGAGTACAAACCGAGCCGTGTAGACGCGACACAATGCCTGGGATAGGCAAGCAATGACGCGCAAGAAAGGTGATGTTAGGTACCGCAATTGACCGAGCAAAGGCAAGATCTGTTCAACTGTGTGGGCCTTCTCCCGCGGAAGTCCGATTCTACTCCAAAATGGTCAACCACATCTAGTTCAGTTCTCATCCGTAGTATCAAGCTGCCCCACCCTTACACCGAAATACTGACAGTGTAGCGGACCTACACATCCCCTTAAGTCAGAGGAAGACTTAACGCTCTACGAGCAACTTAGTTCTAAAGAACTAACGACTTTACGAGTCCACAAGCTTTACAGCTTCAGATCCCTGTTCCAGGGGACCTAACGATTCGGTGAATCGAAAGCACTCAGTGCTCAAGAGTAGCTACCTCAAGGAGGTGTTGCTAACTCTTAGTGATCAGTGATCAACGATCAAGACGGCTCGCAAGCCACGTGTCCTTCAGATCAAAATGGGAACTGATTTTATTTGTTTGTTAAAGCCTATAGAATATCTTACCCTACTCAAAGATCTTTCGTACCTAATGGCTGACACTCGTAAGCCCCTACAAACCAATAAGATATTCTGTATCACCTTCACAAAGGGATACCCTCAGGTGTGTAACACCTCTGGTACAAAGTACCATAATTTCGTGCAACCCCGTTACACCCTCCCCCACCAGCCTGACGTTTGCCAAAACGTCAATCGAACTCGTGTTCTCAACGAGAACAGTGCGCGTACGGTGAACCTCCCGGTAACGTTCGCTCTAGCACGATGTCCTCATCACCAAACGGGTCAGAGGCTCTGTGTGACTACCTCGGGATAGAGGAGGAGGTGGACTATGGTAGCGATACCAGTGTCCGCGGTGATACAGGGACAATGTCCGGCTCACTGATGCCTGAGGCACAACCTTCGAACACACTAATCCGTTCGCTGAACGTGTAGATGCGAGCGCGCCACCAGCGCGGCATACAGCATCTGGGTCTGATGAGACTATCATCGCGAACCCGCTCGATGAGCAACAACAATTGCTTGTCCAAAGAGAAGAAAATGCTCAGCGTTATGGACAAATGGCTGCAACCCTTGAGCGCCAGCGTGACTATGTGTTCACCCCACCTAGTATGGAGGAACGTCTTCGTCAAGCGGCCGGCCAAACATTGGCAACGTGGGTCATTGGCCATGGGCCAAAGACTCCTGAGGAGGTGGTGAGCTGCCAGGCACTTCGTGAGAGGTACCTGGAGCCGCACCTAACGACTTAAAGTCAATACAAGGCACGCCTTGACATGCAAGCACGCGGTGCACCGGTTCCACCGATGAAGTTTATACCCATTCTCTTGCTCGCGGGCAAAACAGTGAGCGAGAAGACGACGCCTTCGTTCACTGGGTGCCCTATGTGTGTCGCCTCAGCAACATGTTTGCTCTGAGGTCTAGTGCCAATGTGGCTGATGTGCGTCTTGAACGCAAGCTTCGGTATGATTATGCCAAGCTTAAGTCCAGAGGCCAATTGCGCAAGCGCACGCGCTATGCTTCGGCAATTAAGGTAGCTGCGAGTGCTGGTCAGTCTGTGGCCAACAACTCGCCAACCCACAAAACTAGTGGTGGGGAACGGCCTCGGTCTCGAGATGACCACGGCCACGATGCTCAAAAGCATCCAAAGCATACGGGCAGTTTTGCCGAAGGGGTGCCTCAAATTCCCATGAGTTTTCAGACCCAGGGTATCCACGCCACTTTACCAGATACTGGTATCGGCCCTGGTGACGACGTCGTTTCAGTAGTCTCTCGACATGAAATTGACGACACCCATGCTCATCGAGCAAAGTCGGTGGCGGCCGGTGTACCAATAAGGGCCCACGAGAAATTGGTTTTCAAAGTAAAGGGTCTTCAAGAGGCCTTGGGTAAGTCCCAGTGCATGCTGGATGTGATACAAAGCCGCCTTCGGGCGATGGAGCAAGCTCAAACTCGGAGCGAGGCTCAGTTGGACTTGCTGATTCGCCTACAGCAATCCGGGGCAGCGCCCTCGTCGTCGGCGCAAGCGCCTCCATGTTCACATGGGAAGGATCCCGGTACAGCTTAAGTAAGCCTACATATAACACTGGATGTGTGCGTAATTTGCGCGGAAGGTTTAGCGTATACGCAAGTCCCTTCTTGGCCGTGACCGCAAACGCTCGAATAAAGCGTGGACGCCACTTTGTCTTGAAGACAGCAGACACTACATTTGTAGGTAGATTTTTAGCATTGAGTAGTACTTGGTCTCCGACCTCATAACATTCAATACAATTTCTGTCTTTGGCATCAGCTTGTTGTTTTTGGTATCTTGACTATGAGCCATTGCGTCGCGCACATGTCTTAAGACATTTAATCGCGTTGCAAGAAACTCGCCTATCTGCTTTTGAACGGTAGCAGGCTGATATCAGCAAGCCGATTGGCAACCTCTCCCCCAACAAGCCCTGAATCACGTAGTGATAGCGTTAACGGAACGCGAGGGTGAGTGAGACCGTTTATATAGAACGGAGTAAAGCCTGTTGAGGCATGAACAGCGTTATTCAACGCAAATTCAACAACAGAAAGCATTGAGCTCCAACGCCTAGGCGTATCAGCAAAAACACAGCGCAAAATGTCATTGATGACGCGGTTAACACGTTCAGTTTGACCGTCGGTATGCGGATGATCCGCTGTGGACATGTCCAACCGAGTGCCCAGCACCTTGAAGATAGACTTCCAAACTTCCCAGTGAAGCGAGGGTCTCTATCAGAGATGATTGCCACCGGCAAGCTATGTTGGTGAAACACACGGTCGATAAACAGCTTTGCTGTACCTTCAGCATCGATGCTATCCGGCACAGCCGCTAAGTGAGCCATCTTGCTTTATCGGTCAACAAAGACCACAATACCACTGTTGCCTTCCGAATCTTTCGGTAGGCCGAACTCAAAATCCATGCTCATGGACTCCCAACAACCAGTGGGTACTGGCAAACTATCCAGTGGCGCCGCCGCATGTGCCGAGGGTTTAACCCGTTGACACGTTTCGCACGTACGCACATAGGTGCTCACCCACTTATAAAGTTTGAGCCATCAATAACTTTGGCTCACCGAGCTGTAAGACTTCTCACGACCGAGATGACCACTTAAAGCAGTATCATGTGCCTCATAGAGGATTTGATACTCTAATTCCTCATCATGAGGTACAGCGATACGAGGCTTATCCTCAATATCCGTGCGATAGCACAACAGGCCATTATCGATGGAATATCGATGTAGTCTCGCACGCAAACGTGCCGACAACTCGATGTCCGAGTCTTGAAACTCATCGCTCCCAAGAGCACGTAGCAAAGCAAAGTATTCATCCTTGGCATATGCCGCACGGATTAAGTCAGTGACTGACGACGACAAAGTCGTAACATGAGCAAGCTCATAGTCAGGTCGACGCGATAGCGCATCAGCCAAAGCATTTTGCTTACCTGGCTTGTACTTCACCTCGAAGTTATATTCGGCAAAGAAGGAAAGCCAACGCGCCATTCTCTGTGAGAGGTGAGGCGACTGTGTAGCAGTGCGTAATGAAGCATGATCTGTATAGATCACAAACGGCTTGGAGCCAAGCAGATGCACTCTGAATTTGACAAGAGCGTACTTCATATCAAGTAGCTCTTTGTCATGAACTGGATAGTTCTTTTCAGCAGCTTTCAGCTGCCGAGACTCGAATGCGATGACGTGTTCACGTCCGTCGACATCTGTTTGTAACAGAGCACTGCCTATGGCAAAGTCAGATGCGTCACAGACGACACTATAGGGCCAACCAGGATCGGGAAAAGCCAATATTGGCGTATGAAGGAGACTCTCCTTAACTGCTTCAAAAGCATCATGTTCGGTGTTACCCCAACACCAATCCACATCTTTTTCTAGGAGATTGGACAATGGCCGAGCCATATCTGCATAATTCGCACTGTACTTATGTAAGTAATTGGCAAGGCCAATCGACTATGGCTTTTGCCTTAGCAGGATCCGCTCGAAGGCCTTGCTTCCCAATGAAGCACCCTAAAAAGGCAATCTCTTCTGCAACAAAGACGCACTTCGATGCGTTAGCGTATAATTTGTTCGTGCGCATGCACTCGAGCACCGCTCGTAAATGATCAATGTGGTTATCCACATCTGATCGCCCTCATTGCACGACTATGGACCAAAATGTCATCAAAGTACGTTTGTGCATAGCCTCGATGAGGTCTAGATAGTTGCGTTACCAGCCGGTTAAACGTAGCCGGGGCGTTAGATAGCCCTTGTGGCATAACAAGCAACTCCCAGAGCATACCGCTCGGAGTACTCACGCTGTCAGCGGAATATCACTTGCTCGCATAAGCAGTTGGTAATAACCATCGACTAAGTCGAGGGCACTGTACAATGTACATCCTGTCATATTATTCTGAAGCACATCCTTTCTAGGAATGGGCGTCTGCGCCGGATTAGTGGCTGCATTAAGCTTATTTTGTGCATGCACAATACGCCACTTGCCATTTGGCTTTTTGACGCAAAAAGTCAGTGTTGAATGGGGAGACTTGCTCTCACGAACCATTCCAGCCGCGTGCTTAGCACGAAAGAATTCGTCAATGACGTTTCACTGTTCTTTCGGCAAATGCCACTGCCGTGTTACACATTATTTTGTTCTAGGAACTAAGTCAATTTCATGACGTACGCCTCTATCGGGAGGTAAGGCACAAGGTGGGTTTTGACACACCACATCTTGAAATTCCTTGACTAAAGAATAGAACGGATCCAAAGGATCTTTAAAGATCGAAGATCCACTTCGTGCACTAAGTGCCGCCTTTGTATCCTCTAGAACAGACTCATCCATTAACGAGGAATAATTTAACTCAGTATCAGGTCTAATGACCGCTAACTCGAATAACTCTCCTGCCTTCAGGGCCTGGCTAAACTCGCCATCAGACATTTCGTCTAGCTCACAAAGAGCGTCCACAGATGGAAGGGTTTCCAGGCAAACACTCCCATCAACCTGACCAGTCACTCCATTAACAAGTGTATATAGTGTATTACTATTATCATTATGTGACTGTGAGGACGCCTGGCTCTTAAAAGTAGCTACCCGGAGTCTCGATCGTCTCTTCGAGACCTTACACCCCTTAGGGGTCGAGACAACATTGTCCCCATAATTACTTCTAACCATAGTACGCTCTATACGAGAGCTTATGTCTTGACCGACATCCGGTGAAGTGTTACATAACTCAACACTTCACCCAGTGGATTGAAACGTGCCACTCCACGTGTATTATGCGGGCCTAGCCCCAAATTTAACGGCGGCTCGCAAATAATGTCATTACCGATATTAGGTGTGGTGCCCTCACGGCCGTCCACACTATACGGCGCATCGCCAACAATATCATTACTGATATTAGGTGTGGTGCACTCACGGCCACCCACACTGTACGGCGTATCGCCAACAATATCATTACTGACATTAGGTATGGTGCCCTCACGGCCGTCCACACTATACGGCGTATCGCCAACAACGTCATTACCGACGTTAAGCGTGGTGCCTTCACGGCTGCCCACACTAAATGGCATATGGCCAACAATGTCATTACCGACATAAATTGCGGTGCTCTCACGGCTGACCGCACTCGGTGTAGTTTCACGTGCCACCATACACACATCAAAGGAGTCACATCCTTGATCACTCGGCCCTAGGCCAACCATGCTTTCAGCATGCAGTGACTCGTTGTCACAACGAGTAACACTCAACGGAGTACGTGCCGTTTCACTAGTTTTAGACGAGCTAGGCTCGAAACTTATGTTTGTAACATGGGAGTTAGATAACTCGGACATTCCAATATCCAGCACATTGACATCTTCTGTCAAAGGCTCGCGCCAATAGCGCTTCTGCTGCCTAGCAAAGGTGGGTTCATGACTCTCCAAAGATTCGCTAGGAACATTGCGCGTAGCGCCTAAGGTCTTAGACCTCCAGTCAATCCATGGCTCATGGCGTTCAAGCCAAGCCATACCTAGGATGAGATAATATCTCGAGTCCAAATCTAGGACAAGACAGCGCTCAATACTGTCAAAGTCTAGAAACTTTATACCTAAGTTCAATGGAACTTTAGGCACCGTTACGCGACTTCCAGTCGCTAAAGGAACCGTGATAGAATCATCATCATGCGCTGTAAGCGCCTCAGCATAACGCTGACTTCCCTCAAAGGGAACGGCGTCGAGCATAATTGCAGGACGCTCCAGAATCGATCAATATCGACCAAGGATTCTCAAAGCCCTTAATTTTCGCCTCGGCGACCAACAAGCCAGCTTGTACCCACGCACCATACCTGTAGGTATGGTACTCTTTGGGGCTAATCCCTGCCTTCCTTTACCTTCCAAAGGTGTAACAGAACCTAGTTCTTCCCCAGTAGGGCGCCCTGCGCCTACTGGGTGTCGGCATTTTCCCGTGCCATGCCAGACTTCTGACTCGGGGTCGAGTGTTGGCTTGTAGCCTGGCGCTTCTTACGCAAGGGGCAGCCAGGCCGCAAGTGTTTAGTGCTTCCGCACGTAAAGCATCGTCGTACGACGTGTTGCTGCTCAGCAGCTTGAAGCTCAGCTTCACCTTCATCTTCATCATAGCTGAGATCCATCGGTTCCGGCCTATTATAGGCAGTGGTACCCGAATAGTTTGCTCTCACAGAGCGAGGATTGTAACCATTCCAATCAAGTCTGGCCGACTTGAAGTTATGCTCAGCATTAAGGGCAATTTTCACAGCCTTTTTAAACGTAAAGGGGTGAACCCGAAAACCTCAGTTTGGGCAATGCCAGTACGTAGACCTTCCATGAAGATAGTCACATGAACTGCTTCAGGCAGAGGGTCTGACTGCATTGCAGCCATGAGCGTTCGCAGCTCTTGGACATAGTCCGATAATTAATTCTTACCCTGGCGGGTAGAAAGAAAGCGTGAGCGCACGCGGTAAGCCTGGTTAGGTGGAGAAAACACCTGTATTAATTGTGACTTGAGCGACTCTCATGTGGGAAACGCTATGTCCACCGACGTGCTACACGTCAAGGCTCATTCTCTAGCTCTACCATCGAGCTTCGAGATAGCCAGCGAGACCTGTTGATGACCAAGCGTGATCAGGCCTGATCTCATGGCCATCTCAATCTCACGGATCCAGAGGATGAGGTTCTCACCCTCCTTACCGGAGTAGTTTTTCACTTCCACTCTAAGTGGACGAGGCCTAGCCTCTTCGTCTAGTACAGGCACGTAGCGTGTAGGCATAGCCGACGCTATTTGGTCTTGGACCTGCCCTAAAGGGTCGCTTCATACTGCATTAAGCTTTCAATACGTGCATTAAGCACTTCAAAACCTTGTGAAACAAGGAACTCCACGTAATCTGGACCCAAAGATGCGGTCAGCTTAATCAAGCACGACCTTTTGAGCCTCAGATAGGGGAGTGGAGTTTCCCATCCTCACAGAGGATCAGTCTTAAAGACTCAGGCGTAGATTGACCAACAAGTGCTACCAAGTGTAGCGGAGCTACACAGCTCCTTAAGTCAGAGGAAGACTTAACGCTCTACGAGCAACTTAGTTCTAAAGAACTAACGACTTTACGAGTCCACAAGCTTTACAGCTTCAGATCCCTGTTCCAGGGGACCTAACGATTCAGTGAATCGAAAGCACTCAGTGCTCAAAAGTAGCTACCTCAAGGAGGTGTTGCTAACTCTTAGTGATCAGTGATCAACGATCAAGACGGCTCGCAAGCCACGTGTCCTTCAGATCAAAATGGGAACTGATTTTATTTGTTTGTTAAAGCCTATAGAATATCTTACCCTACTCAAAGATCTTTCGTACCTAATGGCTGACACTCGTAAGCCCCTACAAACCAATAAGATATTCTGTATCACCTTCACAAAGGGATACCCTCAGGTGTGTAACACCTCTGGTACAAAGTACCATAATTTCGTGCAACCCCGTTACAGACAGGGTGTCTAAGATGTAAGCAGCGTAAGACCTCGTGTATCCAGCGGTTCATCTAAACCACGGGAATGAAGGCGAAAATCATCGATTTCGACATGTTTGCTTCAGGTTTGGTGGTAAAGTTTGTCCAAATATTTTGCTTCCCCAAGAGATACACGTGTATCTTGTAAGAGGACGAGATCAACCTATCCGCACTCCTCATGCTGTCAAAAGTGCCGGAACCACTCCTTACACCGATCTGAGTGTTTAGGAAAACCAGCAATATTTGGAAATGTAGACCCACAATGTTATCCCGATGCCGTTGCTTGAAAGACAACTGTTGCTGATAGCACTGCGTGGAGCGTCTATGGTAAACAAAGGTAATTGAGAAGTAGACAACCCTACTTCCTTGTTGTATCGCCAGTATTGGCAAAATCTCTTCCCGGTGTCCCCTGAACGGGTGCTTCATCGCTGGATGTGCCCTTTGTATTCAATCGACTTACTGTCGGTGCCCCTAAGAGATGAGGTCGATTACCGGTGACCATATTTGAGGTTTGCAAAGAATAGAGGCAATTACGTTGCACACTGTCAGACGTATGATAAACTAGTGCCTTTGTTTGAGCATGACCACGGTTGTTTTTCCATCCACTGGGGTCCGGCAGAGGATACACAACACATCAAGATACCCCAGTGGGCGATATCCGATAGCGGCTTACAACAGTGGTCCAAATTAATCCAGGCTGCAGCTTTGCAACCCGTCGCCCGTACTGAATTGAGTCGGTCATTTTTCATTGAACTTTTCCTCTGACCCGCTAAAGCTGCAGCCCCCTGGCCACTGCTCTCGAAGTCTATCATTCAGGTGACCAGCATAATGACGATAGAACAGTAAGTGAGCTTTACAATTGATGGCACGATCAAAGTTAATCAAAGTGTCGCCAGTCATGCCTGATAGGTATAGCACAGGAAAGTCAGTGCACGGACTAGAAACCCGAGCTCAGACGAGTAGTCAGTGATCAAAATAGCCATACCCGTATGGCTTATAGGCAATCCATTCGGTACAGATGCCATACCGTTGGGCTGGCTGGCCCAGCGGCGTATCACTGCGGGATTCTCGGCACGTTTCTTTGTTCTTTCAAGGATAGCCGCCGCTGCCACCACCGCTGAGACGGCGTCAGGTATTTTTCGGATACGGGTTGCACGCAACGTCTGGAAATGCGCGTATGGTGTTTGCGTGGTGGTGACATCGGATGTTGCTGCTGTATTAGTCACCCGTGGAATCACGCGTCCGCGGAACGCGCCAGTGTCAGAGTCATCGGCAAGTGGACAAGCAGATGTCAGCTGGGTGCTAGGTGATAGCTCAATCTCTTCGGCAATATCCTTAGCAAGCTCAGTGGGAACAGGGATAATTGCAGCGCTCTGAGGAGGTGTCACGGCACCGCCTCTTAGGTCATCCGCGCTTGGAGTCGCCAAATACTAAAATGCTCTCCGTCATAGTAGCATCGAGGCTGTGTGTATCCAAGAGACAGGAGCAGGGGCGGTGACAGACGTTGATGGTTTAGTAGCAGGTCCCTGATCTTCGAAATGAGTGGTCTCTGAATCTACAGGAGGGCATCCAGCTAGACGCTCTCGTCGATGTCGAATGTATGAAGATAAATCGACGCTGGATGGCCGCGCGAACCCTCGCCCCAATGTGGCCAGTTTTGGTCGCTGGTAGTATCTCAAATTGCAACTGCTCAGGCGGCGTGTTCAGGACCAAATCGGGTGTGACCTGAGGAAAAGTCGATCCAGCTTTCGAACCTTAGCTTTGAGTACCACTACTTGCCTCCTCAGCTACTCGCCTCCACATTGGTCATACAGTACTCGTATTCCAAAAGAGGTATGTAGTACAGAGGCGTCCACGTCGATAATCGGAGCGGCAGAGATTGGCGCCGGCTTCGAGTCAAAGCCAACACCAATCTGCGAGCGATATATTTTAAATACCCTGCCTTTTTCTGCAAAGCCTCCTTTGGACATTGTCAGCCGCCAAGCTCAAAGAATCCACGACATGCTGAGCGCGGTCAACCTCAGTAAAAGCTATGTCCCTGGCCGTATTTCGTGTTTGAGATGGGGAAGAAGATGCCTTACCAGTAAAGTCCGTGACCATTACTGTGTCTGTGGTATTGTCATGTCCACAAATAAGCTGATCAAGCTCTTTGAGAGCATTAGTACGCTTCTGAGCAGCCGTCAGACGTCCGCGGGGCTTAATTTGGTGCCACTAACTCCGTTAAATTAGCTCGTACTACTTGCCTGCTGATTTCCAAAAGCAGAGGTCTGTTTGGGACCGAGGACCTGGTCCGCGCAACTCGGTTGTGCAGAAGTGGCCGTCACGTCTGCTGCAGGACGTCTGCTGTGCTGAGTGCATATCTCGGAGCACGCGCAGCTCGGCTCTTTCCGGTGTCCAGGTCCAAATCCTGTTGCGAGGAACCTTTGCGTCGACATTTTTCCCTCCGGAAGGGATCGTCAACCAGCCGTCAGGGACCGGTGGTGGAACGAGGCTCCTGCCAGTAGGGCGGTGTGGTCGTCTAGTTAAGGGGAGGTGTGAAGATGAAAATCGGAAGGCGAACTTGATACCCTCGTCAATAGTGGAGATTTGCTCGCTGTCTCCTGCAGCTTGTTCGCACTGGGCTACGGGGCTCGTGGCCAGCAACGCCACGTGATGAAGACATTCTATGACGTCGAGGTGGCAAAATTCTAAGCTAAAAAAACGGTTTTGAAGATCGATGAACGTCTGCAAACACTCTGTGGTGGTAGTGTAGAATATAACCACGGGTTGCCAGTGGCACCTTGGCGGAGATGAACAGCAAAAACCCCGGACGCACGGGGCCCCGGCGAAACCCGACAATAAAAAAAATATAGCCTGGATTCGTGTCTTCTGAAGTACATGTCAAAACGGGCTTATGATTACAAAAGATAAGACGAATGATCGCCAATGTTGGTGGGTGGACGGTGACGCGGACTACCCGCAATCATTCTGGAGCATGCGGTTCATTTGTATTGCTCGCATGGTGCGACGTTATGAACCGCTGTTGATTTGCCAGCTGTAAGAACAAAGGCAAATCACGACTCAAAAATAACTGATCAAAATGTTTTTGTGTTGTTGGAGATGGAGTTGGCACGGTTGACCAGTCAATCAGATGGAGATGCCTTGTGCGTCCTCGCGGAATCCCTCCTCCATGAGTTCTATGAAACATACCTGAAGCAGCGAATGGTGCAGGAAAACAGAAAGCGATGCTCCGAGTGCATCGAGCGTATGCAAAGAAAAACCTATCCGCACATCGTGTCGGGTCTCGTAGATGTGAGGTCGGTCATCCGTGATCCTTCCTTTCTACTGAGCAACAGTTCGGGTGCCACACTGGCAGCTTCCCTGTCCTCTCAGTCATAACTACCTCAGTAACTTGCTAACGCTCTACCCTTAGTTCTTGTCGTCCGTATCGAGCATGTAGACCGCAAAACCTGCAGCATTACCTGGTGGCCAACAAAGACTGCCTTCCAACTCAAACTGTTGTAATGAACGCAACTCGTGTATTTCTTTCTGGTAAACACTCACTCTCTCTCTCTCTCTCCTGCTCAGTCAGGCGAGGCCCAAACCCCCAATTGCTCACATGGCGCAGTCCTCGTGCGACTCGGTCGTTTCAGCGGTCTTCGTCAGGTCCTCAGGGACCTCCGCGCTTGTCGTTTCGGCAGCCTTCGTCGGGTCCTCAGGGACCTCCGCACCTGTCTTACCAGAGTTAACCTCATTTGCACTCAACTCGTCCGCACCTGCGACCTCCTGCACCGCAGTGGCGTCCGACGAGGGCACAGTAGGAGGCAATCCGCTGCTGTCAACAGACTTCGTGCTGTCGCCAAACTGTGACGCAATGGCGTCCTTGAGAACACCCTCTTCCGTGAACAGCCCGAAGTAGGCCTCCACCGTCTCGCCAGCTTCCAGCGTAGCCAATTTCCACGGCTCGTCAAAGGCCGAGAAGTAGTAGTACGTGAGGTTCTTCTCCGTCGCGAGCGTGTAGAAATCGTAGAAGAACTTGGCGGCATTTGCCTCCGTGGCGATGCTGCCGTTAGCGCTCGTGCCTTGCGACGCCCAGCCAGTTTCGCCCACAATCACCTCCTTGTTGTACGTGCTGACAATCTTCACGAGTGCCGAGAAGCGCTCGTAGAAGTGGTCCGCAGCTCCGTCAATGGCCGCTAACTCCCAAAACGGAAAGTAGTTTGCCGACACGTAGTCAACCACTTCAATCAGCTCCGGGTGCGCCGTATACGTGTCGCCAATGTCAGCGATAGTAAGCGGGATGCTGGCAGCTGCCGGGTTGGCGTGGCACAGTGCACGGATCTCTTCCAGGTTGGCAATGGCCACGGAGACCGTAACGTCACCCCGGTAGACGGCCTCGCTACCCACGTGGATACCCACGATGTTGTCGGCGGTCACGAGACCAGTCTCCAATAGAGTCTTGAACACAGCCTTCTCGGCCTCGAAGCTGGACGTAGATGCGTCTACCCAGATACCGAGCTCGATCTTCAGTCCAGCCTCAATGGCTGCAGGCACGACTGCAGTAGCCTGGTTGCAGTCCATCAGAGAGTAGAGTCGGATGACGTCGGTCACGCCCTTGAGCACAGCAAGCTCCGTGGCAATCTGCGAGGCAGGTTTGCACTTCTCCTCGGCGGGGGCCCAGTCCGGACCAGCGCGGATGCCAAAGTTGATGCCGGTGCACTTGAAGTTGGCATCGTTTGCCTGGGCGAAGGTGGCGACGGCCATGGACACAGCAGCAGTTAGACGCTGGACGTTCACCATCGTCGAAGGTAGTTGGTCTGTAGGTTAGAAGGTGGTTGTTGTCCAGGCTTGGAGGTAACTCGTATCGAGCCGATAGGATGTTATAAAATGACCAGCAGTCTCTGCTGCCGCGACCCGAGTCGACCACCTCGACGTCTTGAGATGATCGATCGCCAGTGCCTGCTACACCCTGTCGTAGCCACAACCGGACGCTTGCAGTGGATATTTCGACAGCTGAACTCCCGCACATGTGCACAAAGTGTCAGCAGAAGGAGGACGTCAGCAGCCAAATCTTGCACATGTAGCAGCTTGGGCGTGAATAGACCGTGAGCATATCAGCTGATGCAATAGCGCCTCGTCGTAACTGAAGCTTGGTGCGTCTACACGCTCGCACAAGCGCAGGCCATCGTCAAAGTGCGTAGGTGACTAAATGTGCGCTGCTGGGTAGGGAGAAACACCAGAAAGCTTGCGAGAAGACTCATAAGCTAGCACCGCATGGTTGAACGTATGATGGATGACCTCAACTTGCTTATTTTACGTGACCATGACTCTACGCTTGCGAAAAGGTCTGGTGAAGCTACCGTGAGACTACAGATAAGACACGCACGTACGAACATGTCCCCTCGTTGTGTTCGTGCAACGTACAGCGCACGTATTGTGTTGTATTGTCACACAACGAGGCGCCGTGACCTTTGGATCACACTGTTGTCCTTGCAGTTGGTGATCGTCGTCTTCGTCTGCCACTGACGGAGGTCCGTGTCACTCCTTTGCAAACGTCGTCATGTCATTTGGACCGACATAGAGCTTCGACTACCACTGTGTCAACTTGCCGCTTCATCGCGAGCCGCACGAGATTGCAGTCGACCGTTCATCCGTGTACGTGGTGAAAGCGCCAGACGTCATGACGTCGGATATACTGTTAGACTTGTCTATCTATCGTAAACGCTCTGCGTATTCACTTTCTACGTTGAGCTAGTACGCCATCTCACAAGTACGTGATACCGACGTGGCTCCATGCCGCTGTCGAAGCGGATGACCGAGCGAAAGTCTCTTTTTGCGTCTTCCCCTCGACGATTTGAGACTGCAACGTGACGAACGCCGAATCTCACCGCTGCGTTGGTGGATAGGAGCAGGTTGATTGAGGCCAAGGGGTAGCGATTGATGTGCTGACATTCGAGTTGTCACGTCTTCCCGGTCCCGCTCGTCGCCTTATCTTGACATGGTCGGTCAGGTACAGTCACGAGCACGACGGTGCGGCTCACTAAAACGTGCAAATGGAGATTCCATGCTGCAATGGGGGCGGCTTACTGACTCGTAAGCCAGTGATCTCTGGGATGGATACGTTACTTTCCACACTACACGGGAATGCAAGTTGGGGAGCAGCCGACTGCTTCTGGGGTGAGATATCGATCAAGGACATCCCATCCAAATGGATTACTCGCCAAGCTCTGGCGTCACTGAGCTAGTCAAAAGCAGCGTCGAGGTCGGGTCGCACCTGTTGGTGCGTAGATGTCCAGTGCCTGACGTCACTGATCAAGAATCTGGCGAGATCAGCCAAAATGGGCTGGTCGTCGTCCGCGGACGTCTGGACTAAACGAGAGGAGTCGATAGCAATGTTGGCGGCTCGATCGGCCATCTTGTTAAAACTGCGGTAGTGGAGCGTCCAGCTCAGTACGCTGAGGCTATCCGCACTCGGCGTCCCCGTGCCTAGCGCTTGCGCTTATCACTACGGTTATGTGTGGACATATCCATGGCCTACTACATTTCTGCTGCATCTCACGCTAGTAGCTTAATATCGCTTAGCAAGCCTGGTAGCTCGGCTCGAGCACGAATATTGTAGGTCGACATCGTGCCATATCTACATCATTTACAAAGCAGTGAGGGAGGCGTTGAGCATTCACGCGCATACAACGTCCTGATTGGTCAATAAAAAGAAATGCAGCGAACAATCTTTAAAATTTAGCAGAACAGTAAACTGAATCGCCGACCCTGTCGCAAAGCTCAGCCAGGTCTCAAAAAAAGATTTCCTCAAGAGCGCGGTAACCCGTTGGATCCAGCACCGATTGTTTATTTTAGTAGCACATAACCAAATACTCTTCGTCCAGTGGTGCGTCCGAGCAAATTTGAGCTCGTTGCGGACCTCGAGATCCGATCAGGAGAGCAGAGTAAGTCAACTACGAGGTTAAGGCCGGTAAATACGTCATGATGACTCACTATGTAACGGGGCACCTGAAGCTTGTACTGATGACAGTACAAGCTACTTATTCTGATGACAGAATAAGGCGGTGCCTCGTAACTTCACGTACACTCGTACGTGCAGAGGAAGACGGTAAGAAGAAGCGAGTACTTGGTTAAAGTAAAAAGTAGAACTGTATTTATAATAGTTAATGTCTGCAATAAATCACTATTTATCTTCATCTAACTATGTCTAAATACAAATGTGTAAACCAACTATCTGCTCACCACTCATTGCGTGCGTCTGTCGTGGCGCTTCTTCGTTGGTTGATATAATGGCCTATATCAACCAATTAGGAGCTACTCGTAAGTGCTGCAGAAAATTTGTCCTTATGACAATATTCTGAGAATGTAACTCTCGTAGTTATATTCTATTAACAATTTCTTATAAATTGTTATGTAACGATTCACCCCGTTACATCACCACCCCTTAACCATCAGTCACTTTAATGATCGATTAACTGAATGGATTGTCGTCCCAAATCATTTGGGACAGGGTTTGCACTTGTTGGTCCGAGTCCACAGTCCATTAATTTTATCGCGTGGTTAACAAGTCCATGCGGTGCGCGAACAAGGCCGCTGAGAGCGTGTCTGCACGTCTCTGTGCGGACGCCGAAGCAGAAACAACAGCAACTGATGTCTCATCGGTTGCTGAAGCGACCCAGCCTGTGTCACTTGGTGATGCAGGCGCTGGTCGTGAAGACACTCATGTCTTCACAGAGTACGAACTCGGTGTCTCATGCTATCCTGATACGGAAGACGGATCCGTGTCGACGGCGATTGAATCCAAGCCGCCTGCCAAGCGTGGCATGGACGATGCTTTGCGTCGCAGCATCTTTGGTTCATCTGACGAATCAGATGAACCATCACCGAAGCGAAGGCGCTCGAGGTCGCGAGACTCAGGCGCTCACAGTGGTGTCGGTTCTCCTATGGACACCACTTCGCAACGAGGTGCCAGTACTTCTGTCGGCACATCGCAGGAAGAGCGGGACCGCAATGTCTTGCGTCTCGCTCCTGAGAAGAAGGCATAAATGCCTCCCAAATCCGTCATGGATCACTTATCGGCAACGACGAGTGATCGTTTTCGAACACGATTGTTCGATTTGTCAAGGATCCATCACCTTGACCCCAGCGCGAAAAACTATCGCGCTGAGAATGGATTCTTCATCGATGCTTTCTTTAGACATCGATGGTACAGTGGGAATCACAAGCGTGATGGTCCCTCACTGCTTCAGGCGTGGAACGCCTACATCCATAACCTTGAGGATGTAGGTCGTGACGCTTGGAACGACAAACTTATCAAAGCTCGTGATAAGTTTGAAAAGCGAACCCCGACAGGTGCACGCTACAAGCTGCATCGTCTGTCAAGGGAGAAGGGATTACCCTGCCTCTCTTGGAGAGACTCGTGCCTGTGTTTTGTGAACAACTCTGCACGAGCACCTAAGGAGGCTTACCTCCTTACCAGCCCGTGGTGGCGCGTACGTATCTCTACTGAGATGTACGAAGGGATTGACAACTTGAAATCGCTTTACGACCGTGCCGGGAAGACTTTCTCCGGCGGTCCTTCTGCAGCACAGGATGTGCCGCGTCGTACTGCTCAACCAGACCCAGTACGTCAACCATCAGTTGGAAGCGGGGCTCCCAAGTATCCCAGGACGGGGGATAGCCGCGCCACCGGACGAGATAAATCGTCCGACGTCCGTTCACGTCGCGGTATTTCAACATCTGCTCAACTAGATAGCGCTGGCCACCGCGAGAGTCCTCTAATGGAGGTGGAGGAGGAGGGAAGACGCTCTCCAAACTATCGTGGGGGAGCGTGTGTTCCCGAGAGCTTCTTTGATCGCGTAACGCAAGGGTTACGCAATGATCTCGAACATGAGCGGGACAGGCGTCTCCAAATGGGTGACACTGTCTCGAAGCATCGAGCTGAGTTTGCCTTTGCTCAGCTTGAGAATGAGAGATCTCTGACATCTCTTCGTGACGAGCTAAGGGTAGCTCGTGGGATTGTTGATCGGTCTCGGGATGAGATAGCTGCTCTTCAGACCCTTGTTGATGCCCACCATTGGGAGCACAAGGCTCTCTGCGAGATGCTTGAGCGCAAGGGCGTTCTTCATCGGAAGAAGCAGCGTACTGATGGTACGGCTTAAGCCGACCAACGTAAAACGTGGGATGCGTTCGCATCTTACGTGGCAACTCGATCGTGTATGCATTGCCTAGGCGGTGCAATACACGAAATGGGCCGATGTACTTGGGTAGTAGCTTACTGTTACCCAAGTTAGTCACTACATGCTTTGGTAGGTTAACCGTAGACAGTAGGACTAAGTCACCTTTACTAAATAAAAGAGTGTTTGCCCTTCCATTTTTGTCAGCGTTTTGCTTTTGCTTATCCACCGCTTCGGCGATGGAGTCTTGCACGAAACGGACTACCGTTTCACGAGCCAGTATGAACTCATCTGATGACTCGTTAGCTTCAGTGCGCTGTGAGCGCACTGCAGCATCATTAACCTTTTCTTCAATGAGGGCTTCTGCACTCTCACTGGCATCATATTCTTCGATATCGATGATATCGATGTCGGCATCAAACGCAATGACCTCTTCGTCAGAGCGTGATGAGCGTGAACCAAATCACTTTTTGACGCGCGAGTCTCCTCCCCCTGAAACCAGAGTTACACTCTAGTAAGGTGGGTACACGCGGATGGCGTTAGCCATTCATGTAAAACGGTGTATGTGTCGTGTACGCATGCATCGAGTTGTTAATGGCAAACTCTACCATTGGCAAGAACTCACTCCAACTCTTAAAGGAGTGTACGTATCCTCGAAGTATCTCTTCAAGGACACGATTGGCACGTTCCGTCTGACCATCTGACTCTGGATGATCAGATGTCGACATCTTCAAGCGCGTTCCGAGTGATTTGAACACGGAACACCAGAAATCAGCAGTGAATCGTGGATCTCTGTCTGATACGAGTTCACGGGGCAACCCATGAAGTTGGAAGATGGTGTCAATAAAGACACAAGCACAGCCACTTGCCGTGATTGACTCTGGTACAGCCACAAGGTGTACCATTTTGATGAATCTGTCAACAGATACGAGAATACCCGTATTCCCGCGTGCGTCTTTGGGTAACCCGAAGACGAAATCCATTGAGATGGATTCCCAGCACTCAGCCGGAACCGGTAGAGGCTGTAAAGGTGCACGCAGTGAAGGACTTGACTTCACTCGTTGGCAGACTTCGCATGCGCGAATATACTTTCGCACAAACTGATACTGGCGGGGCCAGTAAAAATCTCGACTCACCGTGAGATATGATTTCTCCCGGCCACGATGTCCTCCTATAGGAGCATCGTGATACTCGAACATGATCCGCAAACGCAGATCAGCATCATCTGGAATGACAACACGTGGTATGTCACCAGAAACGGCTGTATAATACAGTAATCCGTTACGAGTAGTGTATCGATCTGATGCAGATCGATACGCAGACGATAACTGTTTCAACGATTCTCGAGATGGTTGAGAGAGATGTGTCAACAACTTCACAATCTCACCATCTTGGGCGTATGTTCGCCTCACATCATTATGCAACGTTGTAGATGGGACTGAGAACGTCATAACCGCAACAGTGGCTGTCTCGCTGTTGGGTATCACGACTGGTTTAAAGTCGGGCCGACGTGAGAGTGCATCAGCGACGACATTAAGTCGTCCTGGTTTGTACTCGACCGTAAAGTTGTATTCTGCAAAGAATGACAACCACCGCGCCATTCGTTGTGAAAGGTGCGGGCTGTTCACTGCCGTGCGTAATGACGCATGGTCAGTGTAAACAATGAAGGGTCTATCTCCTAATAGATAGACTCTGAACTTTGCGAGTGCATACTTTATGGCAAGGAGTTCCTTGTCGTGCACTGGATAGTTCCGCTCAGCTGGTTGCAGCTGACGCGACTGATAGCAGACGGCGCGTTCAACGCCTTCAAGGTCGTACTGCATGAATGTACAGCCGATTGCAAAATTGATGGCATCACAGACCACATGAATTGCCTGTCCTGATCGGCTATTGCTAGGACTAGGGATTACATCAAGCTCTGCTTGATACCATCAAAGGAGCGCTGACATTCAGCGTTCCATAACCACCTCTCGTTCTTTTTCAACAAACGAGAGAGGTGCACAGTCATCTCGGCGTAATTGCGTGAATACTTGTGCAAATACGCCGCTAGCCCGAGGAATTTTCGAAGACCTTTGACATCAACCGGCACAGGCCAGTCGGTGATCGCCTTGATCTTTTCGGGATCAGGACGTACACCGTTCTTACCAACGATGCACCCAAGAAGTGGTATTTCGCTTGCTGCAAATATACACTTCTTGAGGTTTGCATACAATTGATGCTTTCGCATGATTGTAAGAACCTGTCGGACGTGGTACCTGTGAACCTCAACGTCCGACTTTCCATCCATAGCCCGACTATGGATGAATACGTCATCGAAATAACTCGGCGCGAATTCGCGTACTGGTCTCAATAGATGTGATACACATCTGTTGAACGTGGCAGGGGCATTACTAAGCCCTTGTGGCATTACTAGCCATTCCCAGAGCATGCCGCTAGGCGTGCTAACTGCGGTATAGGGTATATCCCGTTCTCGCATAAGGATTTGATCGAAGCCATCCATCAAATCCATGGACGAAAAGATGGTACTCTTTGACATACCATCAATGATTACGTCCTTCATGGGTATCGGCGTCTGAGCCGGTACCGTTGCAACATTCAACTTGTTAAATGCATGCACAATCCGCCACCCTCCTGTTGCTTTTCTCACACAGAAGCTCGGAGAGCTATGTGGGGAAGTTGATTCCCTCACGAGGCCCGCAACTAAACGATCGGCAAAGAACTTGTCGATCGCAAGTACTTGTTCACGAGGCAGTGGCCACTGCTTCATGACACAGTACTTCGAGCCTGGTTTAAGCTCGAACTCGTGTCGAATACCTTTTCTCTTCGGTAATTCGCACGGAACAGTTTCAGGGAATACATCCTTGAATTCAACTAAATCATCATAGAGAGAATTTGTCTCGAGCGATTCCCACAATTGGGAGTCATATCGCTCAACTCGTGCGTTTTATCGAGGACACTCTCGTCCATCGATGAACTACTGAGAACTCTCTCGTTCTCAATAAACACTGTTGCTGACCTTATGTCGGTTACACACTCGTCGTCAGCGACGAGCACACAGATCTGCTTGGCTTTGCCACTACGCAGATCACGCAAGAACCTTTTATGTTCGAGCGTTGGCAACTGAGTGATCTCCAAAGTCATCTTCGGAGGCGCAATCAGATCAAGTGCATAAGCGCCTACACTTGATCCGTTATTGACTATGACATTCAATGTCTCTGTCATTTCCTGGGGACTTATTCCCTCAGGCCTCGAAAAACTGATTCTTTCGGCTTCCCGAGGAATAATTTCCGCGGGTTTCGAGGAACCTATTTCCGCCGTATTTTTAATATCGGGACTTATTCCCTTAACTTCCTCTAGCTGTGGTTGCGCAACCACAGCGAGATCTTTTACGAAAGACTCTCCAGTCGATCTAGGATTATTGTTTCGCTTAACCTGAGAGATCGATCGTTTCTCTTCTAGATGTTCCCCGCTAGGCATACATATTTGTCCCGGTCCACTCGACTTATTCGAGTGGTGGACCTTCGGCGCAGCCTGTGTTTCCTCACAGCCGCCGGAACTTTGCTCCGAAGTGTAACCGTTTGGTACACTAAGGTTTTGTGCAGTCGTACTAACGACCGTACCACAAGTGAGGCCATCGCACTCACTCGTAGTACATCCACACGCTTGTGGACGCTCCAAAACGTTCATCAGATGGCCATTTGATGAACAAGCCGCAGGCATCGTTACTGTCCGATGTTGCCAGTTTACCCGTGGTTCGTACATTCTGAGCCACGGTATTCCAAGGATGACATCAAATTTGTCATCCAAATCCAATACGATATAGTCATCGTCATATTGGGTATCTTCTAGCGTATAGTGGATCTTCACTATACGCTTCATGACGGTTACGGATGCGCCTGTCGCAAGACGTACTGTCATCCTCGTAGGAGGTGTGTCATATTCACTGAATTTAAAGTGACCATCTTCTAGCGATTGGCGTCGCACAAAATTGTTGGACGCCCCACAATCGACTAGAGCTCGAAGGGACAACTTATTCGTCACTTCGAGTTTCAAGGTAATGAGTGAGACCTCATTACCTAGAGCAGCAACGCACAACGTTTGTGTGTTGGGAGCAACCTTCATCAAGAGGCCTACAAATTCTCTTGACGTTGCTAGACCAGTAGGGTGCTCCGCACCTACTGATCCTGTCCGTTTTTTGACGGTCCATCCCGTTGTTGCGTCTTTGCACCATCTGCGGACCCTCGTCCCTGCCCCTTTCTCATGGATGGACGGTCACTACGCCCAGTGTCGCGAGACACTGGACGAGGGGCACTACACTCGTAAGCGTAGTGTCCTGTCTTTTGACATCTGTTGCATCTCTGCAACTTCTTGTAGCCTGTAGAGCGAGCCTTCTCGCTCTCTACATAACAGAGTTCCATCGGCTCTGGACCTCCGTTGTCATATCGTCTCGGTTGACGATATGATGTCGAGCTGGCGCGAGCCTGTCTCAGACTGAAGTCTTCCTGTTCCGCAATGGAAATGGCTTGTTCTAGTGAATCTAGTTCAAGTCGGAACAGGTGAGTCTTGACGCGACCATCCGCAAGACCCTGCATGAACACCGAAACCAACGTGTGTTCATCAACCAGATCGGAATTTATACAACTCGTGAGATGTCGTTAATGTTGCGCGTAAGCGTGCACGTCACGCTTACCTTGTTTGAGCTTCAGAAGTTCAGTTCGAGCTCTGAACTCAGCTCTAGGCGGTTCAAACGTTTGTCTGAGCCGCGACTTGAAGACTTCTAACGACCCAAACGCATATGGGTCGTGCAACTTGAGATCCAGTGCCCAAGTCTTTGCACGTCCTGCCAGAGTTGACTGGGCAAATGCAACTTGCATATCCCCGTCGTCGATGCGACGCGCCCTTATGGCGTCATCCAATTTGACGAACCATCTCAAGAGGGAGTCCTCTTCGACTCCCCTATACTTAGAGATATCAATCTTCAAAGT